GGACACGGTGCTGTCCCAGGGACAACTCACTCACTTGATCCCAGCGCCTCGTGACTGTGGTCACCCGGGTCCCTGGGTAGAGCTGCCGGCCCTGGGATGTGCCCGAGGCTCCGCTCGGGGGGCTGACCGGGAGACTGCTGCTCCTCAACCTCCTTCACCACTCGGCACGCCCATGGGGCCTGAAGGGGCCCACGGAAGATTTGGGAAGGTCTCCCTGAAGGCTTTCTTTGCCAGCAGACGGTTTAGAAGAGCGTGACACGCTTTTCAATAGAGTATGTGTCCAAAAACAGGTGCCACGCTCATCCTTATTCAGAAAAATGTCAGTGAAGGAGTTTCTTCTGCTTCTTGCTGTGCCATCCGCAGCATTTAATGTGCTCCTCTTTTTAAAGCAATTAAGATATCAAGATCAAGGTAACAGTGCATCATTACAGTGTCTACCAGAAGCGATTAAGAACGAGTCAAAAAGCAGAAGCCAGGGAAATACATCTGATTCATATCGAGAGTCACTCTAGTCTTCTAAATTAGGTTGGGCATACTTCTAGAGAAACACAAAAGTTTCGCATTTTTCCTTCTTTTGGTACACATTTTGAAGAACTCAAACAGAATTTTCCCAGAGAAAAAGCAGAAGTTGTCAACCTTTCACTTTGAAAAAAAAATAGAGCAACGTTGGACACAAATAGTACTTTTACTTCTGCAATTACCGGAAGAAGAAATATTCTAAAAGAAAAGGACGTTTTTCCCAAATGACTGAAGAACACTCCAGGCCTCATTTAATTTATCTGAATTATTACTTTCAAAAATGACTTGAAAAGCTTTAAAATCATGAATAGCTGCACTCTACTCTTTGAGCTTAGTTTTGCATTCTACATAGCACTTGTCCTATTTTTTCCACCTCCTGAAAGCCATGGTGACACCGAGCCAGCCAAAATTTTCTGATGACTGGTTGCAAATGCCTTGTTCTTCCAGCTGAAAGTTTGATTTAGAGCTATCTTCTTTTTTTTCAAAGCAATACATAAGAGTATCTCTACAGATAGTAAGGGGCAGTTCTGAAGAAAAAACTGTCATAAAACTTTGCTGTGTTTTTTAATTTTTTTTAACAAATTCCACGAAAAACTCCCAGAAGCAAACTCATCTCTCCAAAATTATTTTCCCTGCTAGAGACATAATCTTTCTGCAGAATTTAGGCACATTCAACAAACAAATGAACTGCATCAACCAACCCGAATTCCCTCTGCAGAGGAACAAAGCTGAAGATTGGGTGATCCTTCCAGCTTGAGGAAGATCTGCTGAAACTTGCAGGCTGCTGCCAGGCAGTCGTGTTCGGTTCCCTGTGTCTTTTGCATTCAGACTGGCAAATACACAATCGTGTGATCAGAAAGCAACAGTTCAGGAAGATGTGTGACTTCACAAGGGGATAAATTACAGTACTCGACAAACAGCCCGTGCTCTTTGAAGGTCCTGATCTGTTGCAGCTTAGGAAGCCGAGCTGGTTTTAGCACCTCCACTGACTTCCTCCTGCTAAGCTGTAAGAACAAGGGAGTAACTCTGGAGCTGGACATACTGAATATACTTCCCCTTTTCTTAGTTTCGCTTTTCATGTTCCCCAGGATCATAGAATAGAATCATTCAGGTTGGAAAAGCCCCTTGGGATCAGCGAACCCAACCACTGACCCTGCTCTGCAGAGCTCAGCCCTAACCCATCTCCCCCAGCCCCACACCTCAACGGCCTCCAAACACCTCCAGGGGTGGGGACTCAGCCCCTCCCTGGGCAGCCTGTGCCAGTGTCTGACCCCTCTTGCTGGGAGAAGGTTTCTCCTCATGCCCATGCTGCAGTTTGCAGCCGTTCCCTCTGGTTCTGTCGCTCCTTCCCCGGGAGCAGAGCCCAGCCCCAACCTCTGCCCAACGTCCTGTCAGGCAGCTGCAGAGAGCGAGGAGGGCTCCCCTCAGCCTCCTCTTCCTCAAACCCAACAGCCCCAGCTCCTGCAGTCGCTCCTCATCACATTTATTCTCCGTAAGATTTATTCTTCAGAAGATTTATTCTTTGTCATCCTCCTCTGCACTCGCTCCAGCCCCTCGAGATCTCTCTTGGATCGAGGTGCCCAGAACTGGACACAACACCCAAGGTGAGGCCTCCCCCGTGCCCAGCACAGGGGGAGTTCTGTCTTGGACGCTTGCTTGCCTTAACACCTCTAGGAGATAAAAAAGAAAGTGCAAGGAGCTTGTCTACCAGCATTTCTGGCAAATGACAGCCACACTGTTAACATCAAGGGTTGTCACCTACCTGTCCCAAAACTTGCATGGTATCTCATGTCTAGGGGAGGTTCAAGACAGAAAACACAGCCCTACAGCTCTTGCATGCAACTTCTATCAAGATTTTGATAACAACATAATAAACAAATCAAAGAACTAAAAAAGCTGTTAGGCCTATGTGGCAGCTCAAGTACAAAGGAAAAGGATTCGGCTGTCGAAGATAATATTAGAACATTATTCCAAGGAATTAGCAAGATGTCTGGAAAGAACAATACATCCCCCAAACAGAAACCTTACTGCCAAATAAACCCTTTCTATTAGAATAGTTCCGAACTGCAAAATAAACCTGAAGACATCCCAACAGATGTCTTGAGAGGAGTTTTACCGAAACAACAGTTGGACTCAATGATCTTAAAGCTCTTTTGCAACCAAAATGATTCTGATTTAAAATGAAGTTCTCAAGATGAATTCAAGAAACCTGTCAAAGCTTGCTTCTATTCTGTCCTTTCTGGCAATATCTAGGAGCTGAATTCATATAACTTGACCAGAACATACCGGTAGCAGTGCGAGATACAATTGCCTTCTGCTAACCCAAGTCCTGCAACTGGAAAAACCTGCAGCTATCCCCGCGCTTCGGAGCTATGAGAGCGGCCACTTCACAGGGTGTATGATAGATACTAACTCATAATTACAGCACATACCACCTGCGGGTATATAGTGGCTGCTTACAGCGTTTCCTCCATCAAGCCATGAATTAAACTTCAGGTTTTTATAGCAGTCATGAATTTAATGAACTTTTGCTCCATTTTACCCTTGAGACAAGGCTGAAACAGCAGCAAGCTGCTCCTCGGAGTCTCTGTAACAGAGCAGCTGTCTTGAAGTCAACATTTTGGAGCCATTATTTTATTTCCGCATACTCCTTGTTCAAGAATTGTTCATTATCCCATGGAGATTGCACACGAGCCTAACGAGACAAAGGTACAACCACACAAGGTCTATAGAAGCCTGCAGGTTCAGTAACCATCATCATCATAGATTCCTCATCCATAACACCTAATAAAATGGTCACAATGGCCACAGTACATATATTTATCTCGCATAAGCTTAAGGGTATCCGCACATCCCTATCAACAGAATAGTCGGTCTGAAGTTTAATAAAACAGTTACAGGTTTTGACATACGCAGTAAAGGACAGAAAATCTGACCTAAAATACAAGCAAAACCAAACTGAAACCAGCTGAATACTCCAAAATAATAAGTCTTAACAAAACATTTTTAAAACAATGCCGTTTGTTGTGTTTGGTTTTTTTTTAAAAAAAAAACAAACGAACTCCCTCAAAATTCTGTTCTATTTTAAGAACTTACATTTAAATACACATGGATTTTTCTAAATCATATTCTTCTCTTTTGTTTCAGATTTTAAAAATATCTTCAGCACAGTGGTCATTACAGTTATAAGGAGGGGAATAAAAACACAATCCTTCATGCCAGTCCTGTACCACTGCCTATGCCAGGTCCCGTTTATTACCAATGGTCATAAAAAGGACTTTTCTCTGTGTAGATCAGAAAACCTTTTACTTCCACTCTGCTTAATCTTGCGAGTTCGGTACCTACTGCTTTACACTGAAAAATACAACCACATAGTTCATTCTGGTTTATATGAATCTGTAAATATTCAAGACATAACTGCATGAATAAGAGATTGCTAACGTTTTTCCTTTTATAAAAGGAATATACTGAAACTGTATTCCCCTCAGCCATTTGAGACTTTATATTCAGTGAATTCCTGCTTTCCCAAATTACATTTCCCCATGATACAAGTACATAACTTCACTGTGTAGGCTGTAAACCTGGTGGGAAAAAAAAGCCCATTTTTTAGAAATGTCGAGTACTATCCGATTATCATTTTGTGGCAAGTTTTCCGCCTACGTTAAAACCCACAGATAGTAAAAGTCAAAAGGAGCTGTGTTACACACCAGCTTGGCTCCGGAGGGAATGTAATTACTGCTTTTGTACTGAATTTAGTGGCTTTTTTTGCACCACTTTACATTTCCAAAACTGAACTCGGAAACAACTGTATGTTAAACTACATTAAAATAGATGTTTCACAGCAGCCCTGTTTTCCCAGTTCCTCTGGATTCTGCATATTCCCAACTGCTCTACAAACATAATACTATTGGTGGTTGCACATTAGTGCTTAAAGATAGCCAGAGATCTCTTTTATTTTTTTTAACTTTTTTTACATCACATACCACAGGTCCCTGCAATAAAATACACGTTTCAAAATGCACGAGTTCCCAGTCATGCAGTCAAGTTCAAAGTACACAAGAACCTGCCTCTCAGGACTTTATTTTTAAGGGATCTGGGCTAAAGAACCTCTCGGAGAGCCAGCTTCAGGGGACATTCTTGCTTTGACTTCCATTATACAGCGTGTTCTCCTGTAAATAATAGGGAGGTCTTTTTCTTCAAGGCAATTATACATGTTTTAAAAAGAAACCCTTATATAAGCCTTTCCCAATTGAGGAAAGAGTAATTAACTTGCATAATTGTTAGTTGTGACCCGTAGTTGGAGTAAGGCAGCTCAGCAGGTCTTTAAAATGGTCAGACCCAGGCAGTGACATAGTATTGGCCAAGAAAGGGTGCAAACGTGGAGTTTTGCCCTCTTTTTTAGGCACACACAGTCCCATCACTGCAGGAAACAGAGGGCAGACATAAGCAGAAATGACCTTCAAGAACAGATCTCAGATATCAATTTTATTTCCATAAATTTTATTCCTGCCCTGAAGATAGACCGTTTCTCCACGGTGTTACGGTTGGCTGAGCAGAGCCAGGACACGTGAATTAAAAATCCCATTAGAGTGGCACACACGCGACTCCACACATGGAACGAGATGTAGTAATTTCCATAAGACGTATGGCTAAACAAGCA